GGGAGGGAGGGAGGGAGGGAGGGAGGGAGGGAGGGAGGGAGGGAGGGAGGGAGGGAGGGAGGGAGGGAGGGAGGGAGGGAGGGAGGGAGGGAGGGAGGGAGGGAGGGAGGGAGGGAGGGAGGGAGGGAGGGAGGGAGGGAGGGAGGGAGGGAGGGAGGGAGGGAGGGAGGGAGGGAGGGAGGGAGGGAGGGAGGGAGGGAGGGAGGGAGGGAGGGAGGGAGGGAGGGAGGGAGGGAGGGAGGGAGGGAGGGAGGGAGGGAGGGAGGGAGGGAGGGAGGGAGGGAGGGAGGGAGGGAGGGAGGGAGGGAGGGAGGTGTGAAGGGGGGGTGCGGGGTGTAAATAAACTTTTACTCAACTCGGTCTTTATTCCACAATTACAACATGTATCCCTGTTCAATTTCATGATCTTACTGATCTATGTGCCCCATTTCATATAATCCTAAACACCAGTAACCAGTCACATCTCATCTTCTTCCTTTCCAGAGGACGGTATCAGCATTCCCTGCAACTATACCTCATACCTGAGCCCCCTCCAGTCACCAAAGCTTTACAACGAAATCCGCAATTGCCGCGAGAAAGACAAGCACTTCCTGGCCCACTTTGAGACGCCGTACGTGGTCTTCCTCCACAACAAGAAGGAGTTGGCCCCCTCGCAAGCTCTCTTCACTTTCTCGCATCCAAACAAAGGTGAGGCTCAGGCTAGGGGGGACTGGTTAAGGTTTGTGGGGGGTTTTGAGTGTTGCTGGTTAGAGTTCATGTTTGCTTTTTATAACTTTTATAATGATTTATTGATTTGATAGGGTTTTTTTTCTTTCTTTCTTTCTTTCTTTCTTTTTCTTTTTCTTTCTTTTTTTTTTTTTTTTTTTTAATTTTATTTTTATATTTTTTATTTTTTATTTATTCATTTTATTTTTATATTTTTATATTTTTTATTTATTTTATTTTTTTTTTTTTATTTTATTTTTTTTCATATTCTTCTTCTCTCTGTTCCTATCTTAGTTACACTTGATGGAGTATAAATATCTGTTTGTAAATTGATCAATAAAGAGTCCATCTCTTCTTACTCTTCTTCATCTACCTATCTGCCTAGTTATTTTATAGAGGAAAAACAGACCTTTAGTGAAATTAAGTATATCCAGTTGGTTTTGTCTCAACTTGACGTTTCCTTTTTTGCAGATAAAGTGATCGACAACACGAGATACAAGTCGCTGCAGTTCCAGATCACAGAAGACAACGTAGTGCACGGTTTCGGGGGCTATTTCGAGGCCACGCTCTATAAGGACGTGTTCATTAGCATCAAGCCCGAGACGCATTCCCGCGGCATGTTCTCCTGGTTCCCCATCCTGTTTCCGCTCAAGGTTGGTTTGTTGGTTTGCTTGGCTCTTTTTGCTTTTGCTCTTTCTTTTTTTCTCTCTTTCTTTTTCCCCTTTTTTCTCTCTCTCTCTTTTTTTGTCTTTCTTTTCCTTTTTCCCCCTTTTTCTCTCTCTCTCTTTTCTCTTTCTATCTTTCACTCTTCTCTTTCTATCTTTCTCTTTTCTCACTCTCTCTTTCTCTCTCTCTCTCTCTCTCTCTCTCTCTCTCTCTCTCTCTCTCTCTCTCTCTCTCTCTCTCTCTCTCTCTCTCTCTCTCTCTCTCTCTCTCTCTCTCAAACTTTTTATCTTTGATTTTCTTTTCCTAGTTTATGATCCCTGTTATTTCACTTACAAAGCTTAACATTGAAGATGATGATTGTTACTTTAGTTTGTATTTTATGCCTTTTTTATGAATATTAAAGTGAATAACAAGTCACAGTTCTGGATACAAGTTATTTCACTCCAGAATGCCACTTAGAGGGAGAGAAATCATAACAGAGGAAGAGTCATGAATTAAAGTAATTACTATAAGTAAAGAACATAGCCTCCAATTTGGATAAAGTTGGAAAACAAGAGTATCATTAATCAAGGGGTCATGCTTTTCATATGAATATATTCCCTTCACACAGGAGCCCGTACCGGTGCGAGTAGGCGAGCTGCTGGAGGTGCACTTCTGGAGATGCACCAACAGGAAGAACGTGTGGTACGAGTGGTGCGTGACAGGGCCGCTGGTGGGCTCGATACACAACCCCAATGGACGAGCGTACACCATAGGCTTATAACGGAAAAAGCCCCTAGGATTCTTGTATTTTGTGTTGAGACTGGTCAGTGCTTTGGCATAACCCAAATGGCTTGAGGAAGAGAAGACAGTGCTGAAGCCTAGAACACACAAATTTCTCTTATTTAAGTTGGATTTTGCACAAGTCTGTCTCTCCGAAGAAGTTTGTGCATCATCTTGACGGTACTGCGGCATATAACAGCTTTGGAAGGACTACCTTGAGTGCCTAGCTCACCAGCCCAGCATCACGCAATGCTTTCAGCTGAAGGTATGCAACGTGTACAAGCTTCCCTGAGGTGTGAGAGTCTTCTCCCAGAGAGGGATACCAAGATCCTAGTTCCTGGATTACAGAACATCAGCAGTCACGTAACATGTTCGACCAAGGCGGAAAGTTAGAGCATTGAGCACTTCAGTGGTATTTTTCCCCAATAACCCTAAAAATTCTGCCGAATGAAGTTAAAAAAAAAATCAAATTTCATCACTTTAGCTTCATTGCTTATGAGAATCATATTTTATTTCATTGTTTTTTTTTTCATATGTCTTTTTTTTATGTCTTTTTTTACTTGCAACATGACAAGTATGAAAACAGCAAAGAAAGAGTCCACTTACTTAATTTGTTTCATCCAAACTCAGGCTTTACTTGTAGTCAGTGTTTTTGTATGCAAAGTAAAAAGAAGCATTTAAAATAATGATATTTTTGCTTATGAAAAGTACCCTTATTTTGGTTTCACTCCATGTGAGTTATTAAGGAGAGTAGGTTTTTACCAGTAATGTACTGTTGTACAATGATGCATCTCTCCTTGTGTTAATTTTGTACTTTAGGTCGTTTACCAGTGGTGCATTTTTTGTTAAGCCTCTATGTACAAAAAAGAACAGAACTTGTTTTATCATCCTCTTTCTCCTTAACTCTGGCTTTTCATGTGAATTGTCTTTTCTACCCTCTTTCACATACTTTGTGTTTTCTCTCTTAATCTTTCCTTTCCTCTCATTTCCCCACCATTTTCACTCCTCACCACATAGGTTCTCCCCTCCCCTCCCTTCCCTCCCCCCCTTCTCTCCCTTCCCTTCCCTTCCCCCCCTTCCCCTCCCCCCTTCTCTCCCTTCACCTCTTTTTCTTCTCCCCCCCCCCCCCCCCTCCTCTACTGTCTATGCTCTTCTCTATTGTTTTTCTCTTTGCCTGCTCTCCTTTCTCATCTTTCTTGTTTTTCTCTCCACTAAGACCTTGTCACTTTGTAATTTGGTGCTTCATGGGTTGTCTGGATTTTAGAAATTACTCCTTTTTTGTCTTAGTCCCACACTCCTTAAAGACTCACTGGTCTTTTGAAAAATTGTGCTTCTTCTTGCATTGGCTAAATACTCTGGGCTATTCAAGTTTAGGAGTCCAGCACAGAAACACAAATAATGCAATGAAATACCTGAATATATACTTAACTCCTTAAATTTTTATGGCTGTTATCAGATTCCCTCTCCCCCTCCCTCCCTTCCCTTCTTCCATTCCTCCCCTACACTGGACCGAGTGTGGACGTTGTTTCTTTATATTCTCAAAGGCTGCAGACTAAAGACTAATATATGATAAACAAGCAGTGATTCCATTCAGTTTAGTAAATGAAATGTTTAATGTTTCCGTAAGAGCCTCGTTTCAAAATTTAGGGTACTCATGTTATGTTTTTACTTGTATAAAAATTGACAATTTATATTTTGAAAATTGAGACTAAAATATACAGAATAATAATTTTCTTTGGTATTATTGACCTTTATGGAAGTCCTTTTATATACCTGTTGGAGCAGTGAAAGGAAGAGAGGAATACCAACGCAAGACCTACATGCTTAAGGAACTTGGCCATCCACATAGTGCACAGGAGACAAGGGAAAATGAGTTTGAGAATATTTTTTGTGTATTTAAGACAAAATATTAATATACATATCTATAAGCTGGGATTTTGATATACGACTAAAATTCCATGCTGCAAATGCTGTATGTTGCTGCAGCTATTGGCTTAATTACATTTACTTCAGTATCTTCCAAATTTTATATCAAAATAATTACATTTCTAACCTCCATAGAATAGGGATACAGAATGGATAAGATATTCTCGCGTCTCCATTTATTCTCGTGTGATACTATACACATAAATATACAATTCAAAAGTACACAGCACAATCTCTATATACTTACAATACACATAGTACATAGAATCTATATTTTATACACCTTTACATCTATGGAATGTGTAAACTCTATCCCCTGATTGCTCTTGCAGAAAATGGTTTAAAAGAATATATAACAACTTTTTTTTTCTCTCTTGCACCATTTTTAACATCAACATTGTAACACTTAATTACATGAGTGATACACAAAAATGCAGGAATGGTTAGTTTGGGAAGTACAATATCATTAATGAAAATGATAATTAAGTGAACTGCACAAAATAATCACTGCTATGTTATTTTGAATTCATTTATTTGCCAAAAACAACGATTTTTGTCATTCTGCTTTGACTTGATATCTCTTTCCTCTTCTGCAGTGAAGAATTTAATTATCAATGGCATCTTTTATTTATATCAACTAAAGTATGAGAAAAAAAAAACACTGGATAATATTCATTTTCATAACTCCAAATCTGGACATAAACATTGTTATAATATTTATCACAAATAGCATACACACTACAGCATACCAAAACAAAAAAAAATCTTTCTCATATTCTGACAAGCTTCAAGGAAAAAAAAGTATGTTAAGATACATTCTAGCTGGCACATTAACAACTTCTTTGGGTTTTTTATATAAAAATAATAATAATATACAACAAAGACAGGTCCTGTGATATCCCACGCTCCTGATCTTTAAGTAGAAATGTTTCACTAAGATATTCATTTGATTTTCTGCACAAAAAAATTATTGGAGCATGCCCAGTCTGAGAACCATGCAAACACATGCACACTCAGCCTTTCAGATGCAAGCATAAATGTATATGTCTGCAATCTGTTTACAATACCATCTCTCAAGTTGCATACACAATCACACACACACATGTATTGTCTGTTATGCATTCTTGCATATCTAAAACGTGAACCCTTTCATCATCATTTTTATTATCGATAAATTAACACAGTATTAGTATTCAAGCCTAAAACAGTATCACAGTCTATGAAAAAATAGAGCATATTTCCCTCATTTTCATTTATATTCAATAAAATTCTAAATAAAATATCACAAAACACATACCCCCATGGAACAAAAATACAAACAACAATAAAATAATGTAACTTGACACACTATTCAGTATGCAAGACAATGAACATTGTGGAGAAGAAGAGAAAGGAAAAAAAAGAACAAGAAGAATGAGAGGAAGTATAAAAAAAAATATGAGAGACGAAAGAGAAACAAAAGATACACACAAAAGACCACCTTCTTTTTTTTACATATTTTACTGCATGAAAGACTGTATAAATGAAAACAATGATTGTGAAAGCACTCTTGTAATAAACAACAAATCAAATCAAAGGGAAATTCATAATGTTAAACAAATGAATCTGTGTAGCAACCAGAAAACATTGAATGCATTATATATAGATATAGATATATGTAGATATATATACATCTACACATATATATAAATTTATATATATATATATATATATATATATATATATATATATATATATATATATATATATATATATATATATATATATATATATATATATATATATATACACTATAAAATTAGAGACTGACCTTTCAATTATTTCTAAATTCCTTTAAAAAATGAGATTTTAATCCAGTTTATACTGTGCTTCAAAAGTAAAAAGGTTTTAAACAATGTTAATGCTGAGAATTCACAATCTCCATTATTCCCTTAATATCAATGCAAATAAGGCATTAAAGATGTAAAAAAAAAAAATTGATAATGATTTTTTTTTTTCTGTTAATTAGGCTTATTATCACTTTTTAATCATCTTTACATCAGATATAATCTTTTATGAACAAACAAATCCCCATCAGTTTTCTGCTTTGGTCCCATGTACAAAATTACTTTAAAAAAAAATCACTATAAAAATATATGTATATAAAAAAGAAAACTTTTCAAATAACTTCAGTATCAAGCCTTTTTGCAACCCAAACAGAGATTAGATTTGGCCATTTCTACACCTTCTCAACAGAGTTTAAAAAAAAATTGTTGAAGACGTCCTCTTTACTGAATGCTTAGCAGTTTTTCTTTGGCATGTTACTTACTTACTGTATGTGACAATATACCTACAACAGCAAAGGAGTTTCTATATAAATGTAAAATCACAGTGTCAGTTTCAAACTACATTGTTCTATCTGTCTATGCCTTTTTTTTCGACATCTAAAGTGAGGAATCTAGATTTACTTGTTTATATAAGCTTCTTCTCATTAACACTTCAAACACTATTACAGATGTAGCACAATATGAGATTCTCTATTCCTTCCCTTTCTTTCTTTCTTTCTTTCTTTTTTTTTTTGGGGGGGGGAGAGGATTTGAAAACTACAAGACAGTTCTCTTTTTCTGTAAAACCTAATCCTCTCTACAAACTATGTCTAAAAAATAAATGACTCACTAAAACATAATAAAACATAATAAAAAAATATAAAAAATATGCATACTACACAATACAACCAAAAAACAATTCTAAAAAAATTAGAAACCGCTCTTTCAAAATACCAAACTACAATCAACAGTGAGCAACATAAACATTCACAATCGTGGTACATAGTCCCTACAAGACACCTAACTAACCAAACTCACAACTACATGAATACAGTTGCACTAAACGAAATAATGTCATTCCTTTTTCCCCGTGCAATGATCACAATGGAAACATGTTCTAGACGTGCAGAGTATATTGTCCTTCTTGATCTGAATGGAATAGTACGTAAGGCATTATAACCAAAAGACGAGTATTAAACTGATGGAAATGTGTACATGTGTATGTATATGTTATTGATAACAGTCATAATCTCTAAAGCAATAAATAGTGATGATAATGATATTGATAATTATAATGATAATAATAATAATGTTATCAATAATGACACCAATAATAATGTTATCAATAATGACACCAATAATAATAGTAGTAGTAATAATAATAACAATAATAATACTAATAATAATAATAATAATAATAATAATAAAATAATAGGTATAATAACAACAAAAATAATAATAACATCATCATAATAACAATGACAATAACCACAATCATAATAGAAATAGCAATACCAAAAATAATAACAATAATAATAGCAACAACAACAACAATCCTATAAATCAACATCAATCAACACCACCATAATAATAATAATAATAACAAAAAAATAAATAAATAAATAAAAAAAAAATCATATTCACCAACACCCATCATCATTATCATCATTAATCATTATTACACCATCCCCACTTATCATTATCATCATTATCATCCATCAATAACAATAACACGAACAATACTAATAACAGCACTAATTATATATATATAAATACCTCGGTTTCCCTCTCGCCCCAAAGTCTAAATTACATATCACCAAAGTTATTATTACGAAATTATATGACTGGATTTTCCACGTGAACTCTACAGCCACGTGGGTAAGAGAAAAAAGAAAGAAAAGAAAAATTACTAAAAATAATTATAATAATAATAATGATTGAATAAAATGAATTTTAAAAAATCTAGAAGACAGCTTTAAACAATTTTATATCTTTTTTTTTTTGTCCAGTTGATAAAAATAAATAAAATAAAGTTAAATGTTACAACATAGAATTATAAATACGAATTAAAAAAGTGAAAATTAATAAAAATATAAAATAACATCAAACAACCTTATATTTTTCTCTACAATTCTAACAAATACCAAAAAACTTAAATCATCTTAAGAAAAAAAAAAAAAACTTAAATAATCATTGTAGCCAACAAAATAAAACTAAGAAAGAAAGAAAGACAAAAAAATAATCTATATATATACAAAAAGTAATTTAAATTTTAAATTAACAGATATTATTATTAAGGGGAAGCCGTTTTGGTCTTTGGCGCTGACTTGGGCGAATCGTCGGTCCTGTGTTCGACTCCGCGGCAGAACAGTTTCAGTCGCTGGCAATGAATCCTGGAAAAAAAGAATAAGAAAAAAGTTAGAATTAAAATATAATAATCAAATAAAATCAAATAATCAAACGAAAGGAGAAAGAACATGAGAGTTTAGAAAAAAATGACATGTGTATTGGATGGTATATAATCTTCATATATTTTAATATGAAAAAAATCATATTACAATAAAAAAAAAAACTCTATTAACCTATCCGAATTTAAGCAAATATGAGACTGTACCAAAAAAACTAAAAATCAAATGAAATAATACTAAGGAGACTTGACAGGCGATACAGGGACCAATCACCTACCCCCCCCCCCTCCCCACTGACAATGGATTATCTCAACTGAAGGACCAAGTTGACAAGTTAAACACTATTTCTTAATATTCAACCCCCAATAAAAAAAAATATACATATGTATATATGTGTGTGTGTGTGTGTGTGTGTGTGTGTGTGTGTGTGTGTGTGTGTGTGTGTGTGTGTGTGTGTGTGTGTGCATACATATATAAATGTGTGTATATATAAATGTATATATATGTATATACACACACACACATATAGAGAGAAACAAACAAACTTTTCCCCCAACTGATCAAAACCATAATAAAACCCCCAACACCCCAACGCGTCCTTGAGCGACTCACTTGATCGCCAGCGCCGGTTCGTTGAGCTGCTCGCCGTCGCAGTTCCACGACGACTGCGGCCCGGAGACCTTGGGCGTGAACTGGAGCTCCTGCACGCGGTGGACGTCCACGTGGCCCAAGCTCAACTGGAGAGGGGGAAGGGGGAAGGAGGGATAGGGGGGGGGAAATAGATGTGTTTATTTGTCAGAATATTTGTGGGGATTTTATGGAATTGTAGGGAATCGGAGAGGGAATGAAATACGCTGATCTTGAAACAAAAGAGACTAATGTATATTACATACAACTACAATTTTTACTTAAATGCTACAGCAGGAACGGAATAAAAAACATGAATTAAACAGAAACAAGCAGACAGAGAGAAGAGATGTGAAAAAATAGAAGAGAAGAGAAGAGATGAGAAGAGATGAGAAAAAATAGAAGAGATGAGAAAGAGAAGAGAAGAAAGAAGAAATGAGAAAAAAATAAAAGAGATGAGAAAGAGATAAGAGATGAGAAAAAAAAATAGAAGAGATAACAAAGAGAGAAGAGATAAGAAAAAAAAATAGGAGAGATGAGAAAGAGAAGAGACACAGAATCAAAAACAGAAAAACAGAAAAACCAAAACCACTGCCCCCGCGCGACTCACCGAGTTGCCCGTGCAGCTGGTGCGGTAGAGGTAGCTGAGGATGCGGAACCTGGAGCCGCCCGAGACCAGGATGAGGTCCGCGCAGCCGTCGCCGAGGTGCGCCGACGGGGAGACTCCGTGGGGCGTCAGGCGGCAGGAGCAGGACGCCACGGCCGACGTCAGGACGCTCCACCGCCCGCTGAACTGCAGGGGAACGTGGGCTTAGGTTTTGGGGTAGTGGAGGGGGGCGTTCTGGTCTCTTTTTTATTTCATTATCAGTTTTTGGTTATTATTATTGTCATTTTTTTAGGATTATCAAGGGGGAGGGGCGTTTTGGTCTTTTTTATTTCATTACTATCAGTTTTTTATTATTGTTGTTGTCTTTATTTTTAGGATTATCAAGGGGGAGGGGCGTTCAGTTTTTTTTTATTTCATTACTATCAGTTTTTTTATTATTATTGTCCTTTTTTTTAGGATTATCAAGGGGGAGGGGGAGGGGGGGGGCTGAACTTGGCATTAATGTTTGGAAAATGAAGGGGGGCGATTTGACCTTGAGGTTAATTATTTTTGGATAATGATGGGAGGCATTTAGAACATGTCGCTATTTTGAATGGTGGAGGGAGATGTTTTTTGACATGGGCTCTTATCATTAAAAAAGGTAATGAAACTCTTTATCTCGACTACACGAAGACGCAAGGCGAGCGACGCACCTGGTGCCACTCTCCGGGCAGGGGCGCGGCGCGCGACGCCTTGGAGCAGACGCCGCAGTGCTGGCTGCAGGGCCTCGCGTCGTCGGGCTGCGCGAGGGGCGTGGCCGGATACCGCACGCGGACCTGCCCCTCGTACGACCTGTTCCGGATGACCTGCAGCACGCCCGACACGATGTAGCGCGACGGCCCCAGCTTCCGCCACCGCTCCGACGACTGCAGGAGGTCGCCGAAGTACCCGTAGGAGACCATGGTGGTGGCGACGCCCAGGAGCTGCCCCTGGCCGTGCACCGCCGCCACGTCCACGCTCCGGCTGTCGCCTGCAACGCCGAAGGTAAGGCTGTAGTCAGCGCCACTACGCCACTTTTATCTCCTTCCCTCCCTTCCTTCACTCCTCCCTCCTCTCTCTCTCTCTCTCTCTCTCTCTCTCTCTCTCTCTCTCTCTCTCTCTCTCTCTCTCTCTCTCTCTCTCTCTCTCTCTCTCTTTCTCTCTCTCTTTCTCTCTCTCTTTCTCTCTCTCTCTCTCTCTCTCTCTCTCTCTCTCTCTTTCTCTCTCTCTTTCTCTCTCTCTCTTACTCTCTCTCTCTTACTCTCTCTCTCTCTCTTACTCTCTCTCTCTCTCTTACTCTCTCTCTCTCTCTCTTACTCTCTCTCTCTCTCTTACTCTCTCTTACTCTCTCTCTCTCTCTTACTCTCTCTCTCTCTCTTACTCTCTCTCTATCTTACTCTCTCTCTCTCTTACTCTCTCTCTCTCTCTCTCTCTTACTCTCTCTCTCTCTCTTACTCTCTCTCTCTCTCTTACTCTCTTTCTCTGTCTCTTACTCTCTCTCTCTCTCTCTCTCTCTCTCTCTCTCTCTCTCTCTCTCTCTCTCTCTCTCTCTCCCTCTCCCTCTCCCTCTCCCTCTCCCTCTCCTTCTCCTTCTCCTTCTCCTTCTCCCTCTCCCTCTCCTTCTCTATATCTCTATCTCTATCTCCCTCTCTCCCACCCCCCTTTCCCTCCCTCCCTCCCTCCCCCCTCCCTCCCTTCCCCTCCTCCTCCCTCTCCCTCCTCCTCCCCTCTCCCACCCCATCTCCCACCCCCTCTCCCTCCCACCCCCTCTCCCTCCTTCCCTCCTCCTCCCTCCCTCCTCCTCCCTCCCTCCTCTCCCTCTTCTCCCTCCCTCCCACCTCCTCCCTCCCCCCATCACTCACCCATAATGATGTGAAGCGCGGCCGTCGTGACGTCACTCGTTCCGTGCGTGCCGTGGCAGGTGGCGTCCGTGCTGCCACCTGGCGGGAGATGGGAGAGATAAAGAGATAATGGCGATAAAGCAGACAAAAAAAAGAGATGTAAAAAAAAGTAGTACATAAGGAAATAGAAATACTTCAGTCTTATAAAAAAGGAAGATAGAGATAAAGACGATAATACAAAAAGAAGTAAGTAAAGAACATATAAATAACAATAATAATGATAATAATATAAAAAGGGAGACGAAAGAGAAGAGAGAGAGATAAAGAGATAAAGAGATAATGGCGAAATAAAAAAACTAAGTAAAGAAAGAAATATAAATAAAATAAATTCTAAAAAAAAAGAAAAAAATGAGATATAAGTATTAAAGAGATAAGAGAGATGAAGATAAATGAAAGATAATGGCGATAAAACAAAACGAAATAGAACCCGAACTGGAGAAAAAAAAATAATAATTTAATTTAATTCAAGTTTTGATTTTCGTAATAATAACGAAATTGTTGTTATTACGATCATTTCTTTTATTTTTACGATCGTTATTACTATTTACGTAAAGAGAGGGAGAGAGAAAGGGAGGGGAGGGAGGGAGGAAGGGAGGCAAGGAGAGAGAGGAAAAGAGAGACAGAGACAGAGGCAGAGACAGACAGAGGCAGAGACAGTGACAGAGAGAGAGACCTAAAGAGAGGGAGAGAGAAAGGGAGGGGAGGGAGGGAGGACGGGAGGCAAGGAGAGAGAGGAAAAGAGAGACAGAGACAGAGGCAGAGACAGACAGAGGCAGAGACAGTGACAGAGAGAGAGACAGAGACAGAGAGAGGGAAACAGAGACAGAGACAGACAGACACAGACAGACAGACAGAGGCAGAGACAGTGACAGAGAGAGAGACAGAGACAGAGAGAAGGAAACAGAGAAACAGAGACAGAGAGACAGACAGACAGAGACAGAGACAGTGACAGAGAGAGAGAGACAGACACAGAGAGAGAGAGACACAGACAGAGACAGACAGAGACACAGAGAGACAGAAAGAAGTTCTATCCACCAATCCATCCATCTATAAATCAATACAAAAGAGACAACAACAACAACAACAACAAATAAAAAATCCAAAAAAATCCGAACACAGCCAGATAAAAATCCGTTAAGTGAATTCCATCGATTCGCAACAATGGCCACGACTTCGACCTCGTCAATAATTCAAAGATTTCGGAGGGAATGCGCAGCTCTGATTTCTTTTGTTTCCTTCCTTTCGTTTACTTTTTGTTTTCTTTCAATTATTGGTTTTATCCTCTTGTTCTCTTGTTTGTTTCTCCATTGTTTGTCTATCTTTTTTTCTTCTTCCCCTTTCATGATTTTATTTTCTTATAATTATTATTATGTTTTCTTACTATTATCATATCTTCTTTCTCTTCCTTCTTCCTCCTCCTCCTCTTCCTCCTTTTCCTTCTCCTCCTTCTCCTTCTTTTTTTATTCTTGTTTTTTTTTTCCTTCCGCTATTCCTCTTCCCTTTCCACCATCTTATTCAAAAATAATAGTAACAATAATATACATACACACATACATATATATACATAATATATTTTAGATAATTCAAACGACGACCAAACTATAATTAAATCGCGACGCAATGCCAACACAACCACGAAAATCTAAAGCAACGAAGTGAAAAGAAATAACGTTAAGAACCGTTAAGAACCGTTAAAAAAGCGTTAATTCCAAACCTTCTGAAACCCAAAACAGATACACCAAACCGTTCTCGATAAAAGAAAGAAAGGAAGAAAGAGAGAAAAAAAGGAAGAAAAAATAAGAAATAGAAAGAAAAAGAAACAAACAAAAAACTAAACAAAGAAAAAGTAAAAAATAATAATAATAATAATAGAAAATAAAAAAACGCTCTTAACGGCCCTCCCGCCCATCCTCACGCCCACCCTCACCTGGAATAATTCCGACCCTGATCATCGTGGGCGGCAGGGAGGCCTCCGGATCATGGGGATCCACGCCCGCGTCGCTGGCCGCCCGCAGAAGCAGCCCTGTGACCACCTCGTTGACCAAGCCATCGCCGCCCACCACCACCACGCCGTCCACGCGCCCGCGGTCGAGGGCGTGCTTCTCCACCAGCGCGCGCCCGTGGCCCTGGTGCTCCGTCTGCAGGGGGGAGGGGGCGGATACATAAGTAAAAAGGAACAGATGATAAATTAATGAATAAGTAAAAAGGAAATGGGAAATGGGATGAATAAATGAATAAGTAAAAAGGAAATGGGAAATGGGATGAATAAATGAATAAGTAAAAAGAAACAGATGATAAATAAATAAGTAAAAAGGAAAATGATAAATAAATGAATAAAAAAAAAATGGAACAGATGATAAAGAAATGAATGAGTAAAAAGGAACAGATGTTAAGTAAATAATGAGATATACAAATAAATGTTCCGTCTGCAAGGGAGACGAGAGGAGGCAGTAAGTGAAATAAATGAATAAATAAAGGGATATATAAGTAAATAAATAAATGTTCCGTCTGCAGGATAATGTGAGGAGAGGAGAAAGTTTGCGATATAAGAATGAAAAGATAATGAATAAATAAATAATTGAGGAAAAATATTTGTGGATGTGTGTGTGTTTGCGTTTGTGTCTGTGCACGTGCATCTACGAATCGTGTGAAGGCCTATGTGTGTGTGCATCAATGTACGCATAATTGTGTGTAGGCCTATGTGCGTGTGCATCTATGAACGTATAATCGTGTGTAGGCCTATGTGCGCGTGCATCTATATACGTATAATCGTGTGTTGGCCTATGTGCGTGTGCATCTATGTACGTATAATCGTGTGTAGGCCTATGTGCGTGTGCATCTATGAACGTATAATCGTGTGTAGGCCTATGTGCGTGTGTATCTATGTACGTATAATTGTGTGTAGGCCTATGTGCGTGTGTATCTATGTACGTATATTCACGTGTATGTGCTAAGTATATCTACGTACGAATTTTCGTGTGCCTGTGCGTGTGCATCTATGTACGCATTTTCGTGTGTAGGCCTATGTACGTACGCGTTTCATCACCCACAATACCAATCCTACCACATCCACACCCACGCCCACACCCAGTACCACACCCACACCCACACCCACACCTACACCTACACTCACTCCCACACCCACACCCACGCCCACGCCCACGCTCACCCACCTGCACAACCTGAGCCTGGATGGCCGCCCGCTGGAAGAGAGGAGCCACCTTGCGGGCGTAGATGTGGTGGGCACGCTTCCGTCCGCCCACGGGGTTGATGATCACCAGCAGCCGACGCGGGCGTTGGGGGAGGCCTGGGAGGGGGGGAGAAAAGGGGCGTGGTTAGATAATTGTCAGTAATGATGGCGATTATTATCATGGTGATGATAATGATAATGATGACAATATCAATAATAATACTAATGATAATACAAATACTACTAGTACTACTACTACTAATAATAATCATCATCATAATCATAATAATAACAATAATAATAATAATAATAATAATAATAATAATAATAACAATAATAATAGACAGACAGAGAGAGAGAGAGAGAGAGAGAGAGAGAGAGAGAG